AAAATACAACAAAAGTGTGAGTTGGTAAATAGAGAGTAAGGTCCGAAATGGACTAACAAAAGTGCGACGGTAGGAAAGACGTGAGACTAAGGTAGACTGACCGTAGCGAAAGACACAGCGCCCGGAAATCGAGCTAGTGATCGCACGTCAGCGGGCGGACACGGGCTAACAAGTGTGGACAAGAGAACTAGACACAGCTCGTAAAGCCGGCGGACAGAGGGTCACAGAGCAGTCACGCATAACAGGAGAACGCGTTACCAAGTCGTCAGATATCGAGGAACACGAACCTTTCAAACTAAGCGAGTGATGTACTCGCGAAACTTAAAAATACAAGAGATAATCAACCAAAAACAGCAACAACTAGGACTAGAAACAGTATTGAGCCCGATCTTAACTATCACAGAAACACAAAAAAGTACACATAAACCTTATCATACGAATGAATGCCGCCAGACAGAGGCGCCCGAGCACGCTACCCTACGATTGTAGGATTCACAGACTCAACGCAGTAGTCTTGCTGTGACTGTAATACCTGGTCCTTCCGAGGCCGGAGTGCCAACGAGCGGTGTTCCGCCTGCACTAAAACTGCGTACTCCTTGTCAGACCCCGTTTACACGGCTCCTATTCCTGTTATCGACCTTCCGTGCGCGTCCGCGGTACTACCAGTCGAGCGTTTCGTAGACGATTTGTGTCTACAGTTGTATCGACGCCCAACCCGCGGGTTTACTTATTAAGAAAAACGTGGAGGTCGTTTAGATGCAGCACGATGAATGCTGCCTGGCCATACTGCAGTAGGTGCTCGACTCTCACAAGTTGACAGTTTGAGCGTCGACTGTGCAAATGCGGTTTAGTCCGACAAACCAAACTGGGATCATGCAGACCGACGAACGAAGACTCCTACAAAGGGCTATCTGACGAGCTTAACGTCTCGGAGAAGACCAGTGTCACACGCTAGACGTACAAAGATGGTTGCTCCTCCGCAAAGTCACCGCAAATAGCACAGAGCGAATTCGCCCTTCTCCGACCGTACGCTATGACCCGGCGATCGAACGTCTTACCGAGATTCTGTGGGCTTGATACAATCCGAGTAACCGTGCTAAAGTCTCTCTCGATACTCAGCCGTAAAAACTGGTGCAGCTAGTCGAGACGATGTCTCCGCGTCGTCTTCTGGAACAAAGTTTATGCAGTCGAGTTCGTAGTCCAACAACTATATGGTAGGCTGAGACATGTCGTCGTCAGCCTGTCCAGCGTACACTTACAAGAGCCTCCGCAGACAGCAGTGGCCGAAGTAAACCTGCCCCCTTGAAAAGCCGTGGACGCCGATAAATCCTAGTCGACCCAGGTCGACCTCTCGTAGGTGGCCCTAACCTTAGGGGAGTAGCCCGACACCGCGTAGTGAGCCTAGCTATTGCACGGCAGCCCTTTACTCTCTCCCTCGCAGTTGCGTTTGACTCTACAATAACGTCCTGCAGAGGGCCTCCACGCGGGCGGTCGACTCCTAGAGGTAGCCGCGTACAATAGCCTTGGCAGCCTATCAGGATGTAGACACAGGCTTACTGATGCCTATGCTTATGAAGGTACGATTCGACCCTTCTCTGGTCCGAAAGAGACCTCCTCTCCGTCGCGGCAGATGCACTCGAGAATGAGCGACACAGCACCTCGAGGGGTTCTAACTCAAGTGGTCACGTCTTTCCTCCAGCAGAACCACTCGTACAAAGGAGTCTGAAGGGAGGACGCTAGACAACAATGAGTCCATTTAGCTAAAAATAATTTAGTTACGTCCGGCAACTCAGCATAGTCCCACAACACAATTATCTGAGTCGCCCAGCTTCTTTCGGAATCACCCTGACCCACTCGTACCAGTATAAGATCGCAGTCTATTATTTCTAGAAGCAAGACGATAGGAGTTGGACAACATTACACGGTCACGGAATCTGACACAAAGGCGAACACCAGAGTCAATGGGTACGAACTTGGCCTCGCGAGTAAGTCTAATGACTCTTAACTTATCTTCTGTAGTCGTCTCTCCGATAAGGCCGTTTAAAGTATAAAACTCAGAGCGACCGAGTAGTCGCATCGTGCGGTAATAAGCCCTAACCCCAAAGAGGTACCCGACTTCTGGGGTGTTAGAGAGTCAACTGACCGCAGTAGACCTTTAATTCCTTGACCCCTCTCCTAACTTAACCGTCCACATTTGAAAGTTGTGGACATTTAACGTGGTTGTATGAGATCATCCGTTAGGTAATAAACTAGTGGGGTGACTGATAGGCTAGATGACTTCCATGGAGAGACAATGGTACTAAAATTTTCCTTCGCGCAAATTGTTCAGGTTTCGGACAGCGGATGCTTGGGAGGAGTGACTCTAAAACTGGACAGGTCAACTAGAGAATGTCGCCTCTCGGTGGGTAAGGTCCCGTCTGAGAATGAGCTAAAAGCTCTGGACTCTCTCCGTCGTTACCTGCTTATGTAGAGGAGAAGTCGAGTTTAGTCCCTAATGGTAAGGTAGTAAGTAGAGAGTCGGCCTCGCCCTTAAAAAGAAAACACCTTTCTTCTTCTGCCCAAGAGACTCTGGAACGTATCTGCTGATGTCAGGTGATTTACTGTAATGCCACTTCTTCGCCGATAGGAGACGGTGAGTACAGTACGCGAACTTGAACGAAGTTTAACCGTTCTATAAGTGGTTCGATCTAAATTCTTGACGTATAGTCGAACCAAATCTCTTATTCTTTTTTTTCCCCCTTACTTCACCTTCTGTCCTAAGTTGGTGAGTCTCACCAGTGATACTTATGTATCATTACGGAAAACCTTTACGACATTACGTGGTCGGACACAAAGTTCGATAACAGCTTACTCCAAAACGTCCATAAAACTATATAAAGTCACAAACACATAGACCTACTTAACTATAAAAGAAGGTAATCTACGATTAGGAGTACAATCTGGTACAGGCGGTCCAAACGTCTTTGACCGAACTCTTAGTCGAATAGCAGTTTGCGTCTCTTTACACTCAAGGTGTGTCTTCTTCCACAG